CATCTGAAATGGATCAAAGTTCCACTGTCTAATAAAAAGTAACTTAACAAATTGGTCCGACCCTGTTTTTAACGGCGTTCGTGTATTTTGGGTATTTTGAGACCTAAGTATGGGGACGTTCTTATTTCTAGAGTGGGGGATATTTTGGTAGTGGCCTTCAAGCTGAACGGGTTGTAGTCTCATGTCGCAAGTGAACCGAATTAGCTCCGACCGTTTTGAGGTAGAAAAACACAAAAGATAATGACCCTGACTCTTGAGCCAATGGTTATAGGCCTATTTTTCTTAAGCCTCATGTGTGACCGAAGTCAACAAATGTTACATAGTGTTTTTATGGCGCTCCTGGGTGTTTTTACGACATCATGACTACGGAGTCGAATCCAGTTGACACAGCTCCGGGCTGCATGCCCATTCTAGAGTACCGGTGGTACGGTTCAGCGGGAACGCGTAGTCCTTCCGGCTGTACCGTGATAGCTTTTTAAGAAAACTCGAGAAAACTTCCTGGTACGCTCTCCGAACGAGGCTTAGCTAACCGAGTTAAAGGGGGCAACTAGGCGGACAAAAACACGAGCAGAAAGACAAAAAGCGAAACAAAAAACCAAAAAAGTATAGAAAAAGGAACAAAACTACAAAACGAAAAAAGACAGTGACTTTGACACCGGATTAGTTGGATCAAGACTTTATACTAATTAAATAGTATACCCATACTGTTTTATAAGTTCGATCGTTTCGATAAATCTAGCAATTTAATCCAGCAACCTCAATAAAGTGCCCGAGTGTGGGGCGTTGTTAAGGGTTTTCAGATAGCTTGCAACTTAGCTGGACAACTAGGCGACTTGACAAGAAGAGGTGATCAGCCGAGTGCGAAAGTGGTTCACAAGGGTTGAGCTGAAACCACTAGGAGACTTGACTGGAAGAGGTGGACAGCCGAGTGGAAAAGTGGTCCAGAAGGATTTGGCTGACCCACTAGGAAACTTGCCTGGAACAGGTGACCAGCCAGGGGGGGAGGTGGTGCTGGTGGCGAAAGCAGTGCACGTCTAGGAAGCAATCAGCGCGGAGCCGGAACAACAAGAGGAGGATGCGAAGGGGTGTTCTCGAGTTCTCAAGTTGGTCAGAACGGTTATCGTTAAAATCCACATTACATTATAGGAGATAAGTGTAAAATTGGATATGCGAAATCCCCTGGTTTTGAGGAACGTTTTTACACAAGCAGGCCTGGAGACAGGTCTACGGTTTTCTCTCAAGAGTCTTAGCACCCGGCGCTTAGAGTAATTTTAGGCTTAAGAGGGGGGCTAAAGAGGAGGGAGGTTAGAAGGGGGCTGGTTAGGTTAGAGGTTGGCGGTTGTAAATTGTAAAAAGGGGAGGGACACATTAGAGTAACTAATTAATCGACATCGTTGATTTAGTTACATTTGAATTTTACACGCGTCAATTATAAAAAGCGGATATCCCAAATAAGATCAAATTAAGGTAGGTACCACGGTCGGATCAGGTGGGGGGCGCGGAAGCGGACCCGGATAGGAAACACCCAATAAGATTGTTAGTAGGGGGGAGGAAAACGCGTGGCAATTAGGAACCAGACGTTTTTCGAAAAAAGGTTGACATCTGTCACCTTTGAATTTTCGGTGGGTACATCTCTCTAATTTTTATTATTTTCCTGTTCAAATTTTTACGTTCTGGTGAAAATTTGTTATTGGTTTTTGAGCGAATAGGTGATCACAAGATACCTGCGAACAAGTTGGGTTTCAATTTGCTTGAAACATCGAAAGGGAGATAAATACAGGGGGTCAGTATTTGAAGCTTTTGGCCATTAAGATATGGTTTTTGGGAAAATTTTTCTAGAGCTCAAGTTGTGGTACAAGGTACAGTGGTTTGAGAGTCCCACAACGATGAAGAAAAAACCCTACTATCCAGACACTTGGTGACAGTTCTTGGGAGAGTACCGAAGAAGTCTTGGGACAGTGCAGTCTGGGGACGGTCTTGGGGCAGTGCAGTCTTGGGACGGTCTTGGGACAATCTTGGGACAGTGCAGTCTTGGGACGGTGCGGACATGGGACAGAGCAGTCTTGGGACAGTGCAATCTTGGGACGGTGCGGTCTTGGGGCACTGGTCTGGGACAGTGGTCGTGGGACAGTGGGCTTGGGACAGTGGTCATGGGACAGAAGTATTGGGACATTAGTCTTGGGACAGTAGTCTTGGGGACAGTAGTCTTGGGACAGTAGTCTTGGGACAGTAGTTTTGGGACAGTAGTCTTGGGACAGTAGTCTTGGGACAGTAGTCTTGGGACAGTAGCCTTGGGACACTAGTCTTGGGACACTAGTCTTGGTACACTAGTCTTGGTACACTAGTCTTGGGACATTAGTCTTGGGACAGTAGTCTTGGGAGAGTAGTCTCGGGACAGTGGTCTTGGGACAGTAGTCTTGGGACAGTAGTCTTGGGACACTAGTCTTGGGACGGTCTTGGGACAATCTTGGGACAGTGCAGTCTTGGGACGGTGCGGACGTGGGACAGAGCAGTCTTGGGACAGTGCAATCTTGGGACGGTGCGGTCTTGGGGCACTGGTCTGGGACAGTGGTCGTGGGACAGTGGGCTTGGGACAGTAGTCTTGGGACAGTAGTTTTTGGGACAGCAGTCTTGGGACACTAGTCTTGGGACAGTAGCCTTGGGACACTAGTCTTGGGACACTAGTCTTGGTACACTAGTCTTGGTACACTAGTCTTGGGACATTAGTCTTGGGACAGTAGTCTTGGGAGAGTAGTCTTGGGACAGTGGTCTTGGGACAGTAGTCTTGGGACAGTGGTCTTGGGACAATCTTGGGACAGTGCAGTCTTGGGACGGTGCGGACGTGGGACAGAGCAGTCTTGGGACAGTGCAATCTTGGGACGGTGCGGTCTTGGGGCACTGGTCTGGGACAGTGGTCGTGGGACAGTGGGCTTGGGACAGTGGTCTTGGGACAGAAGTCTTGGGACAGTAGTCTTGGGACAGTAGTCTTGGGACAGTAGTCTTGGGACAGTAGTCTTGGGACAGTAGTTTTGGGACAGCAGTCTTGGGACACTAGTCTTGGGACAGTAGCCTTGGGACACTAGTCTTGGGACACTAGTCTTGGTACACTAGTCTTGGTACACTAGTCTTGGGACATTAGTCTTGGGACAGTAGTCTTGGGAGAGTAGTCTTGGGACAGTGGTCTTGGGACAGTAGTCTTGGGACAGTAGTCTTGGGACACTAGTCTTGGGACAAGGTTCTTGGGACAGTGGTCTCGGGACACTAACAAGAAGTACTGGGACAGCAACGAGTAGTCTTGGGACAGTAGAGAGAAAGCGTGGGACAGTACATAGAAGAGTAGGGATGGTAGCGGGAAGTCTTGGAACGATATAAAAAGTGGGGTCACGGTACTAAGGAGTACTAAGACAGGTTGAAATAACTAATCGCTCAATCAAAAGCAGCAGGACTAGTCGAAACATTAAATCGCGTTA